TTCTTCCCACCTCAGTGCCAGAGAGACCTGCACAGCACTGCTGGCCCAGATCGCAAGCCCTTTCCTTGTCCCCTGGATTCCCTCCGGGTCCCACCTCCACTCACTCCACTCTCCACCATCCGTAACTTCACCCTGGGGGCCCCCAGTGGTGGGGTCACAGGACCTGGGGCCCCTGGAGGCAACGAGGGACCCCGGCTGCCTGGCAGCAGTTCAGCAGCTGCAGCTGCCGCCTACAACCCACATCACTTGCCCCTGCGACCCATCCTGAGGCCTCGCAAGTACCCCAACAGACCAAGCAAGACACCGGTGCATGAGAGGCCTTACCCATGCCCAGCAGAGGGCTGTGACAGGCGGTTCTCCCGCTCCGATGAGCTGACCAGGCACATCCGAATCCACACAGGGCACAAGCCCTTCCAGTGTCGGATCTGCATGCGCAACTTCAGCCGCAGCGACCACCTCACCACCCACATCCGCACACACACTGGGGAGAAGCCCTTTGCCTGTGATTACTGTGGCCGTAAGTTTGCCAGGAGTGATGAGAGGAAGCGCCACACCAAGATCCACCTGAGACAGAAAGAGCGGAAAAGCAGTGCTCCATCCTCATCGGTGCCGGCCCCAGCGCCCTCAGCCTGTGTGGGGGGCTCACAGGCGGGGAGCAGTCTGTGCAGCGGCAGCAATGGCACTATTGGTGGAGGGCCACTGGCCCCTTGCTCTTCTCGGACCCGGACACCTTAAGACCAGACTGAGGGTGAACGCATCAGCTCCTCCAGGCCCTGGAGACCCTTTGTCCATTCCAGCTGCACGACCAACACTACCACCGTTCCCTACTCCTTGTTACTTGGTTGGGCAAAGGGTTTTGGTGGGGCCCAGCCTGGGTCTTCTTTCCTCTTTGAAGTGAGTCCTTCCCAAAACATAGCCCATCCTAGTGTCTCTTAGGTGAGCTGACTGTCACCCCAAGGCAGTGAGGGGACTCAGAAGAGGGCATGGTGTGGACCCCTGGCCTCGAGGGTTAAGGTTTATCTCTGCTTTAAAGGGTTCTTTGACTAGAAGGGGTTTGCTCCTTTTTTACTTTATTTTGACCCAGGACAGGTTCTTGATCTTGGATGTCAAGAATTGATCTGAGACTTTTTCTACAGTAGGTTGGGAGATGCTGATCTCTTTAAGTGGGGACAGCAAAGAAGACAAGCAAAACTGATGTGCACTTTATTGCTTGGGACTGATTTGGGTGCTGTGCAGTGAGCAAAACAGCCTTCGTTTAGCATCTGGTGGCCCTAGAACAGCAAATCGGAGCGTATCTAGTCATCTCGACCCTTTGAGCAATATGTATTATAAACTCAGAGAACAGAAGTGCAATGTGATGGGGGGACCTAGCAATATCTGCTTCTTGAGTTGAAAAATGTAGACTTATTTTTTCAGTGTATATCCACTCAGAGTTTGTGTATTTTTGATGTGCACTGTTCTCCAAGTTCTGAACCTTTGGGAAAAAACGTAAAGCATTTATGATCTCTTGAAATGAGTCAGAGGTTAACTTATTTAAAGAGTGATGTACATATAATTCTCTAAACCTAGAATGCATGCAGTTGTGATGGAAGTGTCCTTGGTGCCTTGTGTGATGTAGACAATGTTACAGGGTCTGCATGTAAATGGGTTGCCTTACAATGGAAAAATAAATTCACTCCCTGGGTTAAGTATGGCTGTATATTTCTGCTTATTAATATTTGGAATTTTTTTTAGAAAGTATATTTTTGTATGCTCTTGTTTTGTGACTTAAAAGTGTTACCTTTGTAGTCAAAATTTGAATTTGTTTGGTTATTAGCCCTTAATAGTTGTGGAAAAATAAATGATCTAACACAAAAACCACTAACTGAAGTTCAAATAATGAATGGCTTACAACTATAGTGTAAATAAATACTTTTCAACAATATTTTTGCTGTAGAAGTCATTTATGAAATACTGGATGGGAATTAGTCATTCAGCACCTGTGGAACTATTAAGAAAGACCACTAATATCAGTGAGTTAAAGTGCTTTGACCGAGACAGGACAGCCAAGTTTGTCTGCTAGCCTGTGGACACCCTACCTGCCACTCCAATCTCCATTCATAATCAAATGCTAGTGTCCTGGGGATTTCCCCCCTTGTTAGTGTAAAAGTGGGGAGGCGTTGTTTTGACTCATTGTTCCGTCCTCTGTAACAGCCTATAGCTTCTCTGCTCCTGAGTGGGCTCCGGAAAAGAAATACTTACAAACAAGAGCCCACTCAGAGACTACATGTTTGTAGCTGCTTTCAGAGCTCTCTGACCAGGCCTGGAACTCAGACTAGATGTGGTTTGTGGAAAGTGTGGTGGCGTGGTCAAGCTGGAAATGACTTTCAGGTTCCAGGATTAGTTTCATGACTACAGAAAAGTTTTTGAAGGCACTATCACCTCTTCAGATCAGAATGCTCTCAGACACTGCTGATGACAGCATTCATGGGTTTCCCAAGAAATTACCCCAGCGCTCATTTCAGCCTTCCCGACTGTACTGTTAAACAGAAGGGTCACTCACCTGCTATATGTTTAGTGGGCTTAGAAGATGCTATCAAAATACTCAGCTTGTGAAATACATGGTATTTACTTGCCTTAAGAAAATATCAAAGGCTGAATACTGGTTTGCAAAGCAAAATAACCACAGGGTTAATTTTACTGGAAGAATTGTGTAGTAATTTTACAACATGTTTACTAAAAAAATTGTATTTATCCACCTATTATAAGCAAACAGATTGTGTCTTTACTCTAACATCTGGACGTTAACATCATTTAAGTGCACCCACGGCTCATTACACAGATGTAACACGGCAGAGCATTCAGCATTTAGTTACATGTGAAAGTCCCTTTTGCTTGTCTCTTGCTGCAGTTAGGCTCTCAGGCCTGACTTTTGATCGCTTGTACTTCAGCATGGCAGCAGCTCATGGTTACTCCTAGGAACCACCTTTTTCCTTTAATGGAATTTGAAACTCAGTTTATGGAGGTAGTTAATCCTTTTCTCTGTGTCCTTTTCCATCCCTCTTTCAAGGATAGGGAATATCTTTTTAGAATTGCTAAACATACATTTCAAAATTTGGTTATTTCTCATGAACTTCTCCTCACCCTTAGCCAATTTTGACAAGCATAGAATGCCAATGTCGATAATTACATGTTAACAAATCCTTACAAGATTTAATAAAATATAGTACATTCAAGTTTCATACAATACGTAATCATCTTGACAAATTTTAGACCACCTTCAACCAAGATAATCTGAACCACTGTTTACAAAGTAAGCAAGTAAAATCATTTAAAATACAAGATTGAAGATATTTTGATGACAAACTGATCACATGCTCACTTTCACCTTACTTGATGAGGTAGTAGTAATCTATAAATATATATATATATATATATGTGAGGAACACCACACTGCAGTGTTTTCGCAGGGCTAACCTCATGGCTTTTACTCCTACGTTAATGTGAGGACAGTTGTTCTTAGATTTTCGTCTTACAATCTTGGGGGTATTTTTCACAGGCATCTCAGTTTTTACTATGCTCAAAAGGCACAGAAAGACACATCCACTAATCTCTTGCATATACCTTATAGAATATTACTGATACTGTTACTGCTTTCTTATTAAAGGTACTTCTGGAGAATAGCTCCTTAAAGTTCGTAACATTTTTGAGATGGTTCAAGTCATATTATCAACAGGCTGATTAAACCTAAATAAGGTTTATGAACTAGACCATTTAATATCCTAACTGCTAACGAGATCAAAGCAAATTGCTTTATAGATTAAAAACTGTTAAGGTTGGCCAAATAGCTCCACGGATTAAGGCGCCTGGGGGATTCAATCCCCGGGCCTGCCCTGCCAGCCCTGCCCATGGGGCATACTGAGAGGGCAAATGAGACTGCGCTTGGTGGTGCGCCTATAATCCCAGCTCTTGGGAGGCTGTAAACAGGTGGATCAGTATGAGTCTGATCTAGTAGTGAGACCCTGAACACCCTGCAGACCCTTCCCTAAAATAAAAAAATGAAAAAATAAAACTGTTGCAGTAATATTTTAAAGTTCAACACAATTTGAGTGTGTGTGTGTATATGTGCACAGGGGTGGCCAACATCAACACAGGTGTGTAAGATGTTGCCTGTCCAAACTACAACTACACAAACTCTACAGGAAAAATATTAAAGGAAGAAAATGTCTTTTCTTTTTAAAGAGGAAGATTATGACTAGACATCAAAATCTCAGATGTATTTTGTCTTTTTGTTTCAAAGATCATCCTCAAGGAAATAAACTAATATTAAGTTTATGCTATTACTTGGACTTTAATAATCTTTAAAAGACTGTCAGCTTTTAGTACAACAGTACAGGCTCTGAACCTTTAGCAGGAGTATATATAGCAGGAAATGCTTTCCTTCTCCAATTTGCCATAATCAAGATTTTCTCTAAACAATTTTAAACATTGCTTTGTTGGCCATAAGTGCAGTTATTTTATCTATACACCCAAGCATCCCTTAACTAGACGGTTAAGTATCATGAACAAATGGTTTCCTTCTTTGACAGGAGATTCCTCAGTGCACTGGACATGACTAGGGTCAGCTTGTGCACAAAGCCTAATTTCTAATTGAGAACTGCAGTTCCAGACAGCAGCAACAAGGCTTCCAGGGCAGGGTTAAACAGCAGTGGGCAGATGTTTGAATTAACCATATGCTGCTGCTTCTGAAGCACAGCACTCAGAATCCTTATGAATAAAGAGCTGACGATCCTCCCAAGATGCAAGCCACCTACGAGGAGACCGCATTCGGGCAGAAGCTAAGAGCTGCAAAGAACTGCTCTTGACAAAAGCACGTATCCCACATCTTCATCAATAAATGGAAGGACTAGTAAAAACCAGTTCTCAAAAGTAGTAAGCAGGTACACAATTTTCTGCACTGATGCAACTGGTGTAACAGAGAATCTGAAAGCTTCACAAGTATTTAGACAGACAATTTCTCATCCATTGAGAGGCAATTATTGCATTTATTATTCAATGAAAAAATTAAATGATTAATACCATTGTGCTCATTAGTCTTTCCCAGGAGAAAATGACTTTCACCCACAGGAACTAAAACAAAATCCGCATTGCAGGACAAGGAAGCAGCAGCACAAGTCCATCAGCTCACACTTGATGCACAGAGGCGCGGTTTCCGTAGCCCATTTTGTCTTTCTAATGAGCATACTTTTTCTGTACTGGCTCATGAAAACAAGTTACATTTTGTTTTCAGCATTAATTTAGTCAGATTTTACTAGAGAACCAAATCTCACTGTTCCTACTGGACTAAATTAGAAGGATGTATTGCTGTTTTGGCCTGAACAACTTCAGTCACTTCTGAAAAGCACCCCGATCTTTTCCTTCCAAATAGCTTAGAATTGAGAACTTTTATTACTTTTTTTGGGTAGCACAATCTTTCATAAAAAGTTGTTCTTTATTACTGTCATATTTCCAGGATGCTTCTTTAGAGTTAGTTTAACATACTCGATTATACTATAACATACATATTACTATCAACAGTCTTTGTAAATAAAGTTTTTGCTACAATTTTAAAAGGTGTGACCCACCAATAATAATTGCACATTCAGTACTGTGCTATAAAAAACATAAACATATTACTTTATGAAGTTCTGTAAGAAAATTATTTGCATATCTAGAATTTGTTTTCAAACTGTGTGGCATGAAAAGCCACAGGCCACCACGCCCAAGGCCTCTGGAATCACCAAGGTGTGAGGCTGTGCTGACAATTTCTGCAACCCTGGAGGAAAGGCTTGGTATGACACCTATGTCAGGTTTTATAACAAGTCTTCGGTGGCATGTCATGCAGAATAAATGTCTCTTATTAAAAAGAACTTGCTTTTCGGTACTAACAGCTGGGAACTAATACTCCTTCACCCTGGGTCTCGGAAACCTAGTGTGGTCAGAGGCAAGTTGCAGTTTCCCCCAAGGGCAGCAAACACTATTGACAATACTAGTAAATTTTCCTTTGTTACAGACAGAGGTGAACTGCCACAGGCACAAATCCACCAAAAGGGCTCAGATACCATCCCCGTAAATCTCAGCATGTTTCTTTCTACTGCTTGTTTTTATGACAAGCTTCATGAAAAAATGTAATCCTATAAACAGTAAAAAGGGGGAAACAACACTCCCTGGCCTGAAGCAAATCGTGTTAGTACATCTGCAAACAGGGTAAAGTTGCTCAGCTTTAATAAGGACAAAAATTAACCTGACAGATAACTGTTGCTTCAGGAGTGGGAAGCAGGAAGTGTTTCATCCCAAGTTTCTGTGCGTTACAGTGCCTACCAGTATAGTCAATTCCCAGCTCTCCAGCTCCATGATTCTCTCGGCCTTCTACCTCTTCCCACAAAACACAGCTGGTGAAACAAGTACCTGCTCTCCCATTGGAAGGAGAGGGCTAACACCAGGAGCAACCCCGGGGAACCACAGCCCCCTGGCTCCTGGGACAGTGTGAAGCAGTCACCAACAGGTTTTCTTCTACTTCTATAGGAAGATATTAGAAGTCAACAGGCATGTGGAATTCAACAGTTGGCTAGGGGTGTTTTACATTCAGTTGTTTGGAAGCATGACAGATTGAGCTCTGATTTTGGTTAGAAAACACAGAATTACACTATCATCTCTTATAAGTAGAGCAGGACAAGAAAACAGTCACTTAAGGATAATATAGTGTCTGCATTAAAGCTGAATCTACAATAAAAAATCTGCTCGACTCACAAATCTGGAGATTCATGGGGCAGATAAGCTCTGAGGAAGCAGCTCTCACTGAGAAATGCAGGTGCTCAAACTTTTTCGTAGAGGCTGCCTGAGTAAACCAGATGTGGTGACTGAGCAAAGAAAATAAATCTTGTCCTCCACATGCATAGTTACGTTTTCAGAGTGATCCCAGAACTCTGAAAAGATGATTTAATTTTCGCAGGGCAGCTGCGACCAGAGAGCTCACTCTAAAAGCTGCATCTTTTGAAAATAGTTTTAACCAATGACTTGAACTAAAACCAATTCAAACCATTTGGCCAAGAAGTCAATAAATTAATTGTGAAGAGGAAAAGGTGGCAAAGGAAGAAGTGAAAACAAACCCTTATTTACCAAATGGGGTTGGGGTAAAACCGTTTAGTGTATTTTGTATAGCATGGATAACAAAGGAAGAATATTCTCATATGGCTTTAGGATGGAAGCCCTTCAGATTCCCGGCCCCAGTCCCCAATCCCTGCGGGCAGTGAAAGTACCAGAACCCAACCCAGCCTCCCGCCCACCCGCCCCCATAACCGTGCCCACGGCTGCTGTCCTGGAGCCCGCGCTTTCCACGACTACCACGGACGCTGTTGCGGTCACTCCCGTAGATCCGACGCCCAGGGTAGGGTCAGAGAGCACGCACGACTGAGCCCTTGAGGTGGGTGGGTGGCGAGCAGCAGGCCCCATGAGGACAGGGCACAACCTGGGCACACGGACAGCATCTGTGGCTTCAAGGGAAGACCTTGGGGCCCGGATAGGGTTCCCCCTCGCACCAGAAGTCATCGGCCTGCGGGGTCTCCAGGAGCCACACCTCTCGGGGCAGGTCACAGGCTGAACCAGAGGCCTCTTTGGGCCTGACTGGCTCCAGCACCCGGTAATAGTGGCAGTCTCGGCCGTCGTCAGGGTCGTACGGCGGGGCCAAGATGTCCAGGAAGGCGGCGGGCCCGTCCACCGCGTCGATCTGGTGCAGGTTGTCCCGGGACGGCGTGAGCACACAGGGGCTGCTGGCTGCGGTGTACTCGGCCCGCGATCGTAAGACGCCCGGCCGCACTGCCTCCCGCTCCCGGGCCTGCAGCGGCGGCTCGAACTGCTGCTCGGGCGGCGGGGCCCGCGAATGCTGCGCCCCGCCCGCGTCCAGCTTGTCGAGGCAGCTGATGCGCACGGTACCGTAGAGCACCTTGAGCATGCCGTGCATGCCCGGGTGGTCGTGCAGCGGAATGGACGTGCCGCTCTTGAGCAGGAACACGCCGAGGCTGAAGCCGTGCGTCTCGTAGATGTGCATGTAGGTGACCGGCGGCAGGCTGGGCGGCAGCGGCTGCAGCGTGGCCTTGCGCGGGGCGATGTTGAGGTCCTCGGCGCGGACCTGGGTCAGCAGGCTCTTCAGCTTGCTGAGGTTCTCCGGAAAGCCGGGCGGCAGCGGCGCCTCGGGTTCCGCCGTCGCGCCGCGGTCGGAAGCACCGCGGCCGCCCCCGCTGCCCCGGAAGGTGAGGCAAGCCTGGCGGGCGATCCGCTGGATCAGGGAGGCCATGTTGTCTCGGGGCATGCTCGGCGGCTCCTCCGTGCGCCGGGGCCGGCCTCCTCCCTTCTTCCGCCCCTTTCCGTCCCCGGCGGCCGCCACGGCTGCCCGCAGCTCCAGGCGAGGCGGGAGGCCCCGCAGGCACCCAACGGTCAGTGGCGCGGCTTGGCCGCCGCCGCAGTTGCCAACCTCAGCGGCCACGCGCCAGCAACGGCCTGGTGCACTCGTCTCCCGCCTCTTCCGAGCGCGCACGCGCACGGCCCACACCCCGCACTAGCGCTCGGGAGCAGGTACCCGCCGCGCGGACAGTGCCAGGCTTTGCCTTACGCCCAGAGCTTCATTCATGCGGCCCGCACCAACGACGGTGGCCCGGCGATCAGGGCGGCGCGCAGAGCATGCTGGGACTTGTAGTCCACTCTTTTCCCCCAGAGAGCCGATTTTCCTCTTTCAACCGGACAAAGGAAGGGATACTAGACCCGTGAGGCACAAAGCGACCTTTTCCAGATATTCCAGGTGTTTTCGTGTTTAACAAAAGGGGATGGGGGTGTGTGTGCCAGAGAAGCAGCCACTTTACTACAACTCCCGGCACTGCCAGCGAGCTGGATGACGCACTTCCGGCAGCTGGCCCGAGGCGCTGTGGAGGTTCTTTGCAGCTCAAAGGAACCCGGCAAAAGGGTCGTTAACCTTTTGGCGTCGCTCCGGCCTGGTCAGACATCCAGGGTCGCCTTTCTTTGTCCTTGTCCCTGGGAAGGACAATACTGAACCAACCTTAGCCTCTCGTGGCCGCCTAAGCAGCACTGTCTACGGGGACCGCGGGACAGCGTTTTCGTAATTATCTAAGTGTCCTAGGAGGGCGGGGGTCGAATCTGTCCCTGGTGACCACGAGGGTTATTCGGGACAGGGGGGCCCAGCTGTGATTTGCGTCAGGGCCTGATGACGCGGCGCGTTGTGTTACAGAGCGCGATAGTAACTTGCTGGGAGGACTTGGAGAGGTCCTCCGCTGTGGTCATGAAGCCTGTGTGTCATTGGTTTGCCTAGAAAGCAAGCGCCTCTGTAGAGGGAAGAGGCTTTTATAAATTCAGATTTCCGGTTGTCACGGAGAGACAGATTTACTAGGTGGACCTGAGGCTTCCCTGGAGAGACTGGTGTGCAACAATCAGACAAACTCTTGTGGACTTAGTTCACTCCTCAGTATTCTTCGCGAAGTGAATTTTAACAGTAGCCGATGATGAATGGAAAAAAAATACCCTAGGTACCATCGCTTCAAACTTAACCCCGAATTTAAAGCCCTCCTGGACCTCGAAATCTAAACATGGGTTTCTTGTACACTTTGTCTTTGGGGTGGTTCAGTAAGCCCTCTTCAGTTAAAATAGGCTTGATTTTAGGGGGGTTATATAACTTAGCTAATGAGCACTCACTATTCCTGGCACTGTGTTAAGTGCAATTATGTAACGAATGCTATATTATTTAATTCTTACAGAAACTCCCAAGAGGTAGTCACTATTATTCTTATTCCCAGTTTGCAGATGAGGGAATAAGTTGCACGAGGATGGTGGGTAATAAATAGGTCACTGACAGCACAGAGGAGCAAAGCAGAAGTCAGCGTATTTTACCAAAACACAGCTTGAATCAGTGCGGAAGGCACTAATGTTTCTCCAGTGTACTGTGACACATAGCAGACTTGTAGCTTCAGGAAGGTTCTACCCTTCAGGTTCTCAATTTGCTCATGTGTATAATGGTGATTTTAGGGTGACAGTACTTCAGACTGTCTTAATCTTGGGGAGCTTAAAAAATTGTTTTGGTGGTCAGACCCTGTAGAGATTGTTATTTGGAAGAATTGGAGTGAAGGTTAGAATTTTCATTTTTAAAATGCTCTAAGTGATAAGATCTTGATTATCAGTTCAGTTTGAATATCATGGTTAGGCCTATAAATAGTAAGACAGTTCTTAATATTAGGTGATTCTGTTACAATAATTATATGCTTTATAAAAAGATTCTGAAGGCTGGATTTTGGAGATCACCATGCTGTTATTCAAATGTATTATCAGAATTCACTATTTAAGGAAATCCCACTCTGTCTCTTTCTAAAGTGAGGAGCACTTAACAGAAAAATGCCTTCCCTTTATTTAAAAATACAGATTTTTATTTTTTGGTTTTGCTTCTGTTAATTTGTAATTTTCAGATTCAGATAGACTCCATTTGATTTGAAGATCAGCTTCAGGGTGAAATTTTAAAAAGTCAGTTTTCAGTGCTTAGATCATCTACCTGGTAATTCCATTCTCTCTTGCCATTTATTGGGCAGACCTCTGTGTGGCTACAGAGTGTGTGCTACTTTTTGAGGTCAGAGAGACAGTCTTCATAATTCCTTTTGATATCACCCTTGGAGCTGCACTAATAATGATATTGACTCTAAGAACTTTAGCCCTTAAGCACTTTGCTGGGTTTTTGTGCCACTGCCAGACTGACTGGGTTTCTGTTAGCATTAACAATCTTCTTGTTTATGTTATTTATTTTGTATTCCTTGGTATTGCTATAAGCCAGGTCATTCAAATGTATTATCAGAATTCACTATTTCAGGAAAGTGAAGACCAGAAGAAATTCAGAAAATAGAATAGACAAGAAAAGAGAAATGTTAGTGTGTGAATGCTAGAGAAATATGTACAACAAACAAGGTTTGGATAAAATTTGAGATAGCTTCTGTCATCCAGTAGTGAATATGGGTACAAAACATTGTTCTAGGGTTTGGGGATTCAGCAAAGAACAAGGAAGACAAGGTTTAAGTTTCCAAGGAATTTACCTGCATGTTTTGCAGGGTAAAGTGGGGGAGATGTGTTGGTTTGAACTTGTCCCCCAAAAGTTGGATATAATCACCTTGGAAACATCAGTATGTTGATAGTATTTGGGGGTGGGGCCTTATGGAGATATTTAGGAGTAGATGAGGTCATAAGCCTTCTTCCTCCTTGATGACCTTAGGAGCCGTATTAGAAGTAGGAGACGGACCTTAGCTAATGTGATTCCTTTTCTTGCCCTGTGATGCCCTCTACCACATCAGTGTAGCTAGAAGGCCCTCACCAGGTCCTTCACCGTGCTTTTGAACTTCTCCGCTTCCAGCACTTATGAAGACTAAATTTTTGTCATTTTTAAGTTACCCAGTCTCATGTGTCATGTTTTAGCAGCAGAAAATGGAATAAGATGGATGTTTGTTATACAGTTGAGGTAAATTAGTAACATAATTTCAGACAGATTTATCAATGAAGACAATAACACAAGGTAATAGGATGTTGTGATACTTGTGTGTGTAGTATGTTCCTTTAAATGTTGTGACCTCAAGATAACAGGAGTGGTTGCCAGATAACATTGGAGCTGCTCTTGAATATCAAGGAGTGAGCTAGGAGACAGCTGGCGGCAGAGCATTTCAGGGTCAGGACATGGCATAAGACTGTTAAACAGAGTACTAATGACTGAGCAGGTAGAAAGGAAGTAAATAAGAGGGAGAAATCAAGGCCTGTGGGATTAGTATGCATAGAGAGGGTCGGGGTTCCCAAAGGAACATGAAGTTAGAGAGGTAGAACATGGGATTACGTATGGAAGGAGGCTCGTAGGGAGTTGTAGGCTGTGGACGGGAGTTGGATTCTGTCAGTGCAGAGAGAAGTCTTTAGTGAGTTTAGGATAGGTAAATGACTCCAACTGTTTTACATTTTTAAGAGTTGGTGGTAGCACAGATTTAACAATTGAGAAATTTAGAGGCAGTATTCCAGGGGAAGGACAGGAGCACTGGTGTAAGGATTAGAAATCCAGTTTATAGGTACAGGTGGCAGCACTTGCTGATGAGGTATTGGCAAGTATTTTTGTCTTTCATGAGTTGACAACTAATAAAGTTTGAAGCCCATCTCTTCCCTACCCCTATTATACTTAGGAATGGTGGAAGCTTACACAAACATGCGGAGACCTGAGATTCTTTTGGGGGGAATGACAATTTAAAGAGCCCCTAGCTGATGCCTGTTTATCCCCACTTGCTCCTTTATGGATTCTTTCATTCTTTGGAAACTAGGCTTGTTCTTTGTCTTCCATCCTTCTTCACCTGTCTCTGTTATGAGGACCCCTTTCCCTTGGTATGCAAGATAAGCCACCTCCTGGCTTTCCCCAGAGCTTTCTGCTTTTGTGGATGTACTTTGGTCGCACATATCCTTAGTGAAACGAGTAAAAAATTGGCATTCTTAAATGCTCACAGTTCCTATCCTGTAGTTTTGTTTTGGTTTTGTTCATAAAATGGTCTGAGGGTCGGGAAGATGGCTCAGTGGAATAAGCGCTTCCCTGGCAAGCACAAGGGCCTGAGTTCAATTCCCGGTTCCGCCAAAAAAAAAAAAAAAAAAAAAAAGATAAAATTTAAAATGGTCTGGCAGTGTCTTTTCTCAGTAACACTTATATATTTGACTTTTATATTAGCTTAGAATGTGATAAATGCATTTTTAAAATTTCCTATATTTAGACCGACTGAATTATACTTAATTTTATGTGAAATATTTTGGCTTTTTTTTCCAGTTTTTAAAAAAATGTCAGCATGCATTTCTTATCCCATATCATGCATGAATGTCAAATTGTAATAAAAATAAAAATTGCAAAATTAGAAGAATTGGTGGCATGGTTTTGCCACTACCTGAGTGAGTGTGCAGCTGTGTTTAAGCTTTGCCACTGTTACTGAGTCCCTTGATCCAGTTTTTTCATAGTTCTGTGAAGCATGTATCCTTACCCCATTGTAGAAGACAAAAGACATACAAGGATGATTCAGAGAAAAACCAGATGTACATAATTTTCATCTCCTTTGTCTCCTTATTGCCCTGTAATCCTGTTAGCTTGGTCCACTGCACTGTAACCTTGTAAGATAACTTTGTCCTGCTAGCTGCATTTTGTCATCCGATAGCAGTTTGCTGTATAAATTGCTCAGCTCAGTATGCCAAGCTCAGGGACTTTCAGTGTTAGAGTCAGACTTTAGGTGTAGCCGTCGGACCCTTTGGCATGGTACATTTCAGAGGTCAGGTTGTGTGATATAACAGCAGATGTCATTTCTAACTAGTCCTGTAGACTAGTACATGTGGTGTAAGGATGAAGAAAGGCTTACACTAGTGATTCTTCCCCTCCCCCTTCATTGTCAGTGTCCTCAGGCAACAGGAAAGAAGGGAGAAAAGAATTAGAAACTTGGAGAATTTGCAGGGAAGTTGGGAGTGTGGTGCGGTGCTCACAAGTTGTTAATGAAGAGATGGTTTTGCTGTGCTCAGCCTGAAGCACTGCCAAAGGCCAGGTATTGCTGTTCTTGGAATAGATTAAAGATTATAACCACCCTCCCCACCATCAATTTGGTATTAGAAAGGTTTTCCTGTTGTCCTTTAAGCAATGTGATTATGGTGAGACCAAAATTAGTTATGAACTGTAAATTAATTTACCTCTCTTAATTAACCCCCCTTCAATTTCATGCTTCTTGTTTTTCTTTCTCTTTTTTCCTAAGAAGACATCAGCTATCTCCACCTCCTCCGCTTTCCCATCTGTCCTTTTCCTCCTGGCTTAAAGAAAGATTTTTTTTTTTTTACTTTATATTTATTTTAATTAATGGATTTTAAACACAAGTGGTGAAACAGTTGATGTTCAGCTTCAAGAGGCAGTGAAAGGGAAAGTCGTCTTCCTTGACTTGCCAGGAAAGAACTGTGTGCCCAGTGCTACCATTTCTCTGAAGAGTGACGGTGGAGGGCAGGCAGGGAAGGTGAAGGTGAGAAGCTTGTTGGGGTGAGATTGAGTTTTCTTGGAAGATGCATTTCCCAGAGGGTACTAAGTAAGTATTGTTTTACAGCCATGACCATAGATTTAAGGTGAATTTCTCTAAGAAACAGTATAGTAGGATTCAATTTAATTCTTTAAATAATGTGTTTAATAAAGTTCACTGTAAGTTTGTTATTTTTTAAATCCTCTAGTTGGACAAAACAAAAAACAAATACAAAACCAAAACAACAAAAACTGTAAATCCGGGGGCCCAGCCCTAGCTCAGTTCTTTAAGTGGCTGCTTCCACAATGCTGGCAGCCTCAGTTTGCTGTAGTTCGATCCCCACAACACTCCAGCCATGCAAAAGTGCCCTGAAGGCATTCAAGGAGCAAAACACACACACACACACACACACACACACACACACACAAAAAAACAAAAACTGTAAATCCTTTTAAAAACAATCTCCCTTGAAAATTCACCTCCAAATACATCCCAGTGCACTTGACTAACTTGCAATAAATAGGTTCATCATTATATACCTGTTTCCTTACGGAGGGGAATGGTTCCACCCAGGGCCTTCTTTAGGAAAAACAAAACCAGCCATGTCCGTGCAGATGCTCTGTTATGCCATTGTAGTGTTTTTGTTTTTTTCTCAGTACTGAGGATTGAACTCAGGACCCTGCGCTTGCCAGGCAAGCACTTATTCTACTGAACTATCTCCTCAGCCCCAAGAAAATACATTTAAATGCCTTCCCCCCCACCCTCGGAACCAGGGGTTGAACTTAGGGCCTTATGTTTGCCAGGCAAGGAGGTATTCTACTGAGCCATCTCCCCGGCCCCACGTTATGCCATTTTAGAAGTAGTGTGGGAGGCAGTGGTACAGCTCGGAAGCTGGAATGGTAGGAAGAGTAATGGCCTGAGAAGACCTGTGCCCTGCCCGGCCCCAGGCATGACTTCGGGTAGGTCAGTTCTCCCAGAACCTCAGTGCCCTTATTTATAAAGTCAAGACGTTGGTCTGAATAATTCACCACTTTCCTTCCAGTTTTTAAAAAATGTTATGAATTTTTAAAATTGTAATTATATGAAATTAAGTAATGTAATTTCACACTGTGAACTATTGCAAGGCATCACAAAAGATACTTTTTAAATGCATTTTTAAAAACAACATGTGGGGAACATTTAGAAGCATGCACACAATGATATTTGATTTCTTTTATTTCTCGTGTTTCTTTTCACTAGATTATATTGACTTTTCCTGAATTATAGATCATTGAGCAAAATGAGCAGGAGTTCTTGTGTAAAATATTTGCTTTTATTCTTAGTTTCCATGGTGTATTTTTTTTTTCAAGGAAAAACTTTTTTCCTAAGCATAAATTATCATGCTTAAGAATGCCATGTATTGCTATTGGGAAAAGCAAAACATGCCTTGCGTTAACTACACATTTCAACAGGACATGCTGAGGTAATTGACAACCAACATCAAGTGCATAGAAATTTCTCTAAGGCAACAGGGCTTTAGTTTAATTAGATAATTAGTTCTGGTCAACCTATAATGAGTGCATAGGCAATTAGCAATGGATTTGAGCTGCTAAAGCCTGTATTTTTGTCTTTGTGTTCCTTTGCTGTCATTAACAACTCTAACTACTGAGCAATTTATATTTTTACACTCATAATCAACTTTATTATCATCCAACTCTTTGCAAGTGATAAAGCAGTGAGACCTGGTGTTGGTTGTATAGCATTGAGTATGTTAAGTAATGCCATTTATTTGCCTATCCATCCTGCCGCTGTGTTGTGTCAAACAAATAGGGCTTTGAGAAGCAGCACACAGTCCATGATTTTGCTGATTGCTTTATTTGTCAAACCCAAGCAACTAGTGAAAGATGGACTTCAGTTTGTAGTGCTTTCTTGGTAGCTTTGAACAGACGTGAATAAAGAAAACCATTCTACAGTTTTACCAAAAGCAAGACCCCATAAAAGAAGCTAAATAATTAATAGCTTACTTATATTTTGAAGGCTTATGATCAATTTTGATCAGTTGAAAGCCCTGGCTTTGCAGTGTGGGAGGAGTTTTCAGTCTCGTGGTTGACAGGAGACACCATTGTGACTTTCCTCACATTCTCGTAGTGCAAGTCATTCCCACCGTACAGTGATTTTTAGGGGAATGGGACAAGAAAAGGAGGAGCGAGGGCATGATGGAGAGGTATATGAGAGAGGTGACTGAGAGGCGGGAGGCTGGAGTTTCCAAAGAAGTGTAGATCATGCTCCTAAAACTTTGTCCTGATGTCACGAAGGCATCTGTGTTACCTTCCTGCTGGGCACGGGAACTGAGAGGCTTCGTCGGATTTCAGTCAGAAACGGGTTTGAAAAATAGACATTTGAAGTGTCTTTAGGCAGTTTAAATGCCTACAGAGAGATCCTCTTGCATTATCAGAGCTTTGATCCCATTCTAATTCACAAAGTCCTTCATTTATATACTTTTTATACAAACTGTTCTACTTACTAAAAATCTAATAAGATTTGGGAGATTAAAGCCAATGTTAGAAAATTAGATAGTTAATAGCAGTTTAAGAATTAAGGAAATGTATTGCTTACTATTTAAGCAAATTAAAAAAAATGTTTAAACAAATTATCTTCCCATTGGAATGTGAACATTGGCTTATAATTTCTTAAGACTTCCCATCTGGCTGGTCTTGAAAATATTTTTATTTTCCTTTTTTCCCCCTCAGCAATGTAATAACTAGCAATTAGAGTTTCAGAAATGCCAATTTTAATCATAACTCCCATTTCCAAAATAGAAAAATTTACACAAACTATATAAAGCCTTTTCATTTATTCAGTTGACTGTTTTGAAAAAAAAAGGAAATAATTCAGAATCAAGATTAAGATATCCTAGAAATGTTAAGGAAATAGGACAGATCTTTCCAAATTATGGACATATTTACAGTTAAGGTACGTGTAGTAGTTTTACCGACATCGATGTTTGTATCACCTAAACGTTAACTTTATAGCGGTTAGCTCTGAAGCAGATTCTCCCAGCTGTGGCACTGTTGATGGTTTGGGTTGACTGATTCGTTTAGGTGTGTTTATGAAGGGGGGTGTCCTGTGTATTTGTAGTCTCTTTGGATACATCTTTGACTTCTATCTGTGAGGTAGCAGTCATACCAACTTCTCCATAACTATAAATACCTTTATCTGTTTTCAGATGTCCCCAGGCTGGGAGCAAATTATTCCCTGGGAGAAAATCAATGATACAGGATAAGACTGGCCATTTTCTGTTCCTTAAAAACATTTTAGTGCATCTATCTATCTATCTATCTATCTATATAAATCTTGAGTGTCAGATAGTGTTTAGTAAGTCTTAAAGAAAACAGTTTTATCTTCAGTTATTATGGTTCCTACCTAGGCATTCCCCAAAAACCCCATATGCTCAGAGGCAGGACCTCTGGAAGAAGATTGGATTATGGGGGTGGTGTAACAGACTGGCTATTAGAAGGTGCTCCTGTGTGGGAAGAGGTAGGCCGCAGACGTGGGACCTGGGAGGTCGGATCTCCTTCCTGGCTCTTCCCTCTGCTCACTGCTTCCTGGCTGCAGTGTTCAGAGCAGCTTCCTCTGCCCAGGGCCTGTCACCATGCCACATTTGCCTAGAGCTGGCGCGCAAGGACTGGAACTTTTAAATTATGAGTCCAAATAAGACTTCTCTTTATGTTATCGGTGCTGGGTATTTTGTACCATTGACAAGGAAATTGACTGAGATACCAGTGTGGAGTAGTTGGGGGAAAAGCCTAGAAGAAGCCTCTAGCTTTCAAATTTTAATTGATTGTCCCAGATGGTATGCAATGTAGTGTGCTGTAATTTTCCACTCTTAAGATATTCCTTCTGTTAGATGCAGATATCCTTGAGAGGAGCATCCTTTTACACTAAAAATGAAACTTCGGTTTTCAGTTAAAACCAAAGATGTTACTAATCTCTACCTCCCTTTCTACCAAGGCCTTCTGGAAGTGGGCTCAGGAGAAATGTACCCTGGGAACAACAGCTGGTAGGTAAACAGGGCGGGAGGGAGGTCCTTGTGTGTGAAAGGGACATGGAACGTGCCTATTTTTAACAGGCTAGCCCAGGTTGCTCTTACCCTGTCTAGGTATTAGTTCTTCCTTCGTGACCCTGTGTCTTTATGTCCTACTCATTTTTCTAAAAAAGTAATCAAGAGATAACCAGTATATCCTTCAGTAGGTGAATGCAGGATTAAATAAAAGTGATCTATCAGTGTATGAAAAGGGTGGTGGAAACTTACTGCATGGTAGTAAGAAGGAAAAGCCAATTTGAAAGCTATATACTGTATGATTCCAACTATATGATATTCTGGAAAGAGCAAGACTGTGGAGACAGTAAAATGATCCGTGGCTGCTGTGGGTTAGGGGAGGGGGATCAATAGGACAAGCACAGAGGATTCCCAGGGCAGTGACACTTGCCTGTGTGGTACTATAATGGTGGGTACATGTCCTATAAATTTTTCAGATTCATAGAATGTATAACACCCAGGGTGAACACTAATGTAAGCTATGGACTCTGCATAATAATTATGTGTCTGTAGGTTTATCAACTGATCAAATCAGATGTACGCTCTGGTGAGGAATAGTGATAGCACGGCAGGCTGTACATGTGGGCGTGGAAGATACATGGGCAATCTCTGTGCCTTCTTGCTCTTGCTGTGAACCTAAAACTGTCTCATTGTACTTCCTTGGAACATAATGTTAGGTGTTGCAAATTAATTTTGAAAACTACTGTTGACTGGATCACCTAGTGTCTTGGTTTATCATCTGTGTAAGCAGGGGCTGTCTGACAGATGTGCAGCTTGGTTTTCCTCAGCTGTGTAACAGTCAGTGACTAGAAATCTCAGCCTGTAAATTGGCTGGCTGGTCCTTACAGGGCTGCACAATGTGAGGGGCTATCTTGTTTGGGACTCCACACTGTTTCATAAGTGTATGTCTAGGGTGATACTTAATGTAAAAAATCAACTCTTCCTAACCGGTGAAATAATTCTGCATTAAAAAGAACTTTCTAAAACAGAGACATGGAGGTAGGATGGCTGGCTCAAGCTGGGTCCAGGGCATTTTCATCAGTACCTCTGTAGCCTCGTGCTTGCATGTCGGCTATGGGTTTCAGTTATTGGTGCTGGGGTTTTGTATGTTTTCTTATGGGGTTGCTATATTGTTACAACACTTCTGTGTGGGATTTCTATATCATTACTGTATCATAAGTGCTACTGGATAGCACTTAGGGTATCACTAAACTTTTTTTCTTTTTTTTTTTTTTGTGGTACTGGGGATTGAACTCAGGACCTTGTGCTTGTCAGACAAGCACTTATTCTACTGAGCTATCTCCCCAGCCCCACTAAACTCTTACGAATAGCTGTTTTTTTTTTTCTTTTTCCGATGTAGTGTCACTTTTCTCTTCATTTCCTGATTTATTCCACAGATTCGGCTAGATTTAGATAATAGGTATCTCTTTTGCAAGGGTCTGCACAGAGGCTAATTTATGTATTTTGCCACCTAATATATAAAATTATATATTCCTTGCCTAGTGAGCTTATACTTATAGTGGCGAATCCATCCCATTTTCAGAAATCCAGCTGAACATCAAAATGCTCTTCCATTTGCTTCAGTTCATTCGCTTTAGTGTTCTTGTCATCAGGCTATGTGGTGTGACATGCCATGCTGACCTCCCGTGTTTTTAGGTCCCTTGCCTCACGTGGGCTACATGGAATCTCTCTTAGTTCTGACCTACACGTGTTGGTAAGCAACGGTGATACTATTATGCCTGATAATATTATACCCTAAGAATTACCACTTTTGGTGTAATTTTCTCAGTCTAGCGTTTTGTGTTTACTTTTCTTTGGTAACAGATTTTCTTATACATTTTTACATAAAGTTAGTGTTTTATTGATAGTAAGACAACGATAGCATATCAACCCAAATAGCCATATTTGTGCTCAACTCTGAGTGGTTTGCTTTAGCCTTTTCTTCCTCTTAAAATATGGGATCAATGGGGAAGATCCCAGTCCCAGTCCGGGTTTTCTCCTTAAGTTCACTTTGCCTTGTATGAGGGTTGAAGACTGTGCTCACACTAAGAGGTCAAGTGGCGGAAGCCCCAGAGCTCAGGCGTCTTGGGAAGCCAAGGAGGCCCAGCGGGGGCCTTTGCTGACGCGGGGGGGGGGGGGGTGCGTGGCGTGGCTAGGAGGGGTGAAAGGCTCCTGAAAGTTAAATGCTGGTCTTGAGGACAGAGACTGATGTCGCAAGCCAGGATGATACTGTGAGTATCTCAACACTTGTGAGAGACATGGGGCTAACTCTGTTCTTTTCCGAGGCACTTTCTAGAGTGTAGTCCCAGAAGAGAATACCGAGGACTGTTCTGCGCAGGAAGAAACATGTAGGGAGGTGCTTTCATGTGCATATTGCCCATGACGAGACAAATGGATTCAGAACTTTTTCCTCTTTCTAATGAAGAGGGAAGGGTTCAGGTGTGGGACTCAAGCAGAGTGCTCTCTTGCTGGTGATGTCTAGATTTGGCACCTAGTACCATAAAAACGGGGGAAGGTAGAAAGTTCTTATTTTAGATTTCTGAGCATCAGCTTTAAAAAATTGTTAAGGAAGTAAGCTAACCTGAGAATTTTTGTTTGGCATAGTCACCTTGCCTGTCATCCTGGTAAAAGGGACCCCTCAGAGGAAGCACCTCTGCCCTGTCTGCCTGCAGAGACAGCGCTCTTGTGCCTTGTGCATCACTGCTGGGGGTATGGGCCTTGCTGGGGGCAGGAGGGTCCTGGGAAGAGACTGCTTCAGCCTCTGCCTCAGCCTCAGCCAGACACTGTCTGTTGGCCCTTGTGGTCCCGTAGGGAAGCCGTGCTGTCTCAGATCACTCCCAGGTGGGCTGGGAAGGATGCTCCCAGAATGGCCGGAAGTGGTTGGGAGCAAAGTGACTTCTGAGAGACTAGAATTAGAAGGGATTATCTAACTGGTCTTCACCTTTAAAGGAGAATCTTGTGTCTTGTCCAAGGGCTCATGAAAGTGGACCTTAATTACCCAGAGGCCTTAGGAACTCAGGTCTCAGTTACCACACATCCTCACAGTGGGTGTGCTTTGGGAAGTCACCACCCTGCAGGTGTTATTTGTGGCAGCATTACAGCCTGAGGACAGTTTTTGCCTTGGAGTGCTCCTTCAGGGCCCAGCAGATGGACTGCTTGTTCCCTCCATGTTTTGTCTTCCGGCTCAGCACCTGTTGTGCACACACCCCCAGAAATGCTCACTTTTCTCTACGTATGGCACAACTCTGGAAACCTTTCCTCACATTGGTTAGAAGGGTCTGCTCCTTCCTGGGCTCCCTCACGCCACCCCCCAAGTCTGTGTAGAGGTCCTTGCTTGCCCTCTGCTGGGGGGACTCTCAGTCCTTCACCTCTTTCTCTTTCGTGTGTCTAATCCTCTTTCTCCCATCATGTTTCACAGTTGCCCAGACCCCAGTTCTTATCTCCAAGTAGTAACTTGCTACTTTATTCTTCAGCTTTTAATGAATAGTTATTTGCATCGTCCTGTCCCAGCTCTGTGAGGAAATGACAGGAGACACACGCCCTTCCAGTGAGGAGAGTCTGTCACCTCGGGACAGGACATACGGGAGCTGGACTGAGCAAACAGGTAGGTGACGGGGACTTGAAGATCACTTGCGACAGTAAGGAAAGCCAGAGCTCACAGAAAACATCTGTCCACTCTAGGCAAGATGTACCAGACAGAGCTACTCTGAGAACGTGCAGCTTGATTCAGGCCACAAAGAGCGGGCCGCAGGCCGCAAGAGGCAGAGCAGGGGAGCTTCCCTGTGCTTTCCTCCTCACATCTGGGCTGGCTGAGACACCCGCTGGCCTTGCTACCTCATGCTCCTTCTCTGCAGGGGCATGCCGCAGAGCCCTGGGATGAGTCTTAGTTTTCAGTGTGTAGAATGGCCTCCAGATAATGGTACAGTTTGGTTTTTTTCCTTAAGTTAGGAGAGGACTTTCTAAATGAAGATTAGCGGGAATAAGTTTTCTACTTAGCTGCAGTCCCATATGGCCCATATGCCTTGGCCTATCATAAAGAATGTAGGTATCCTGCTGGAGACTGTTATTTTCATCTTGACTTGTTGGTATCTGGCTTCTAATTATTTAATTGGTGAAATATACTTCATGTTGTAGTGCTCGCTTGTTTGGGGAGGAAAATTTCATGCTTTTGCTGATTGCAGAATTTGCACATTCTAGCAGGTGATGGCTTTGGCATGCCAACACCGAGTTGGTCTGTAAGGGTATAGTTGGTGGGCTTAATGGATTTGTGTAGCACTACTTCTAATGCTTCTGGATGTAGGATTTAGGACACTTTAGAGTTCTGAGGGGTGGGGTAAAAGAATTTTCACACAATGAAGGTAGATGAAAAAGATGTTTACAGTGGAAAAGTACTTGGCAGACTTAAAAAATTACTTTTGAAATAAAGAGGTGATTTTTATGTCTAGTAGCTCCCTGGGATCAGAGGGAAAATGAGGCAAGAGCGTATTGGCCAGAAACAGCAGCATGAGAGTTTAACTTGACAGTGTGAGCCACTGTCTGGTAGTCTTCTCTATGAAATAGTATGTGTTTAGGGAAAAATTAACCTTAAAAATTATTTAAATCTCAATGACTCTAGGCATTCCTTTTTATATGCTTAGTTGTCTGCTGTTATTAGGGAATAAAGTCCTTTCTACAATATAATTATTCAGTGCTCATTATAAAATGAGAAAATTTGTTAGTTTTGAACTAAGAACTTTCTGGCAGTGATTTAGTTGTTCATTGATTCAAGAGAATGCAAGTTAACCCCTCACTGTATGATTAGGCGCAGGTACCTTTGAGTGATGGGCATTGGTGACAAGGCGGGCCAGAGCCCTGTTTGCAGTTATGTTCTAGAAGGGAAGGAGCAGACAATAGAAAATGAAACAACAGGGCCGGGGAGTTAGCTCAGTAGAATAAGCGCTTGCCTGGCAAATGCAAGGGCCTGAGTTCAATCCCCGGTTCTGCCAAAAAGAAAAAAAAAAAAAAAAAGAAAAGAAAATGAAACAACAGGATAATTGCGAAAAGCTGAGTCCCAGAATGACAGTAACAGAGTGGCATGGTGGTGACTGAGCGGCTGCTGTGCTGTGGAACACCGGGGAACCATGTATGTGCAGCACCTCAGCTGAGCCTGAAGGCCACGAAGTAGCCCACTGTATTATGATCCAGCAGAGCAGTCCTGGCAGAGGCTCTCTGGCAGGGGTAAACTTGGTGATTCGAATAGACTAGTTTAGGGGCACATTTTTTTAGGCTAAGCTAATACCATCTTAAAACTTTTCTTAGTAGTTAAAGCCTTGGATCTCCTCCTGGCTGTGTTCTTTTTCTGTTTGCCACCTCTGTGAAGCATCCTCAGTAGTGCTTCAGCCCTTCTGGTGATATAGCCTGGAAGGAACCACAGAGGGCTCAGATAGTCTGTTGTGTTGGTGAACTCAGTCTCCATGTACTTGCCAGTAAGGGAAGGAGACTGCAGAGCAGAAGCTGGGAGGCTGTTGGGACTGGCCTCTGTGGACCTAACCCTTTCTCATTGCCCAGATGTTAAAGTTCAGGGCCAGTACAAATGTTTAGAATTAACATGTTCCACCCCCTGCCTCCTCCGTCTCTCACACCAGTTCCCTTAGCGCAGAACCATCCTGGGTCTGTCCGTACATGCAGTGTCCCACTGGGTGTGTCTCCTCTCCCAGCTGGTTAGAGTTAGGGTCTGAAGCCCTTGCAGGTGCTGTCACTTTCCTTGGATGACCAGTGGTGATGCACGGAGCAGGCCTACACTCTCCCAGCCTCTTTTCCCTTGGCCTGCAGAGGCTTGAAGGGGTCTAGAAGACTTGAGGAATTTCAATTTTTAGCCCTGAAAGGTGAATAAATTTATTCCAGAATTCACTGGCATTTTCTAATGAGATATTCAGTGGATGAAATATATTAAAAATTTTGTTCAAGGCCCTTGGTATGCAGTGGGCATTTCGACATTGCTTGCAAACAGGATTTTGTCAGTACTGCAGAAAATCAAACCCAAGTTTTGTGCTTGGTTCAAAAGAGAGTATAATCCACTTGTGACCCTGGTGCTCCAGGTCGGCTTCTGATGGTGCTGCCACTGGACGGTTGTTCATGAACATGTGTGTGTAGATGTTATCATTGTTAAAATAGTATCTAGTCATTATTTCACAATGGAAAACTCCCTACTTTTCCACAGCCACTGGCCAAGTCTCTATTCTGTTTAATATATAAAATAAAATAGTTCATCTCTCTTGGGACCATGGGACTTCCCCAATGCCACAGAGTGAGGTGCCTTTTCAAAATACCTCCAGGCTGGGGAATCCCCAGTCTGGGCAGAGGGCCAATTTTAGAGCCAGCAGCTCATTAAAAAGATTCGGAATAGGGAGCCACAAAGTGACAATTACAGGAAGAACACAAATACAGGAAAACAATACCTGAAGCTGGTCTCTGGCCACATTTACCATTATCTTAATATCTTAGAAGGAGGCACAGAGATTAGTGCACGAAACAATAGAGGAATTGGGAAAGGGTGCTCATTCTCGATTGTGAACGGGAATGTGTCATGGGCAACAGTCTTCAGAAGATAAGCCCCCTCCTCCAGTGATAATGAGATGGTACGTGCACTGAGAAGAAACTGTCTCAGAACTTCAGGGTCGCAACACATGAGAATCAGATCAACTGCAGCAGTGGAATGGTGTTCTTCCGTGTCTGAATCCAGCAGCAGAAATGTCTCTCAGGGGTTCCGTGGCTGCTGGCCCCGAGTTCACTCCAGCCCTAATGGTGCTGGTGGGCCCAGTGCCAGTCCACACGGTAGAGGTTATCGTGCCTCAGTGGGCGTGATTGCTGAGAGCTCTTCACATCAGGATGAAACTGACTTCCTCCAATCTGCTGCAAGAGTTCTTCCTTTTGACGTATGACATGTCATCTCTAAATATTTGAAGACAGCCAACCGTCCTATGGTGTTTTAAGTATTTTTCGTGCAGGGTAAGCCTGCCCAATGCTCCAGCTTGCTTATTTGTTACTTTCCCAGTTCTGCTTTGCTCTTCCTCCAGAGTACTTACCTTGAACCCATTTGTAGTGGAAGAGCTGTTGATGCTTGAAATGTGCTAAAGGGCTTTGCATTGACTTCCTAGAGCGTCTTGAACTATAGTGCCTGAAAATGTAGTTTTTCATTTCGTCTGGAAAAGGCTTTCAGTTGTAATATTTCTATCTGGAAGTCAGCTCAGTCTCCACTCTGTTTTGTGTTTACATCAGTTCTTTTTTTTAAGCATCAGTTCTGACTTTAGCTGTTTGAATATGAAGGTAGCCTGAAAGGAGGGGAGCCAATTAGCATCCTTGGTAACCTGTCTGTTCCTTTCTGGCCTGCCAGATTCTGAATGTCTGACAATCTCATTTGGTCCCCTAAGTTATTTTTAACATGAAAAAATCTTTAAAATGTAAATGTATGAAGGCACTAGTTTTAGAAATACACAGAAAATTGTACTGTAAAGTTATAAAGTGTCTGCCCCAGTTTGGTTGGTAGGCAGTCCTGAGCCCTCTTACTGCTGTGTCGTGCAAAGGCCCTGGAAGTGTGAAAGCTTGGAAGGGCGCTGCACACTCCCCCTGCCAAGGTAAGAGCATCTACTTAGAGCCCTTTAATGTTGTCCTCATGCAAGAAGGAGCGAGCAGACATTTTTAAAGCAGCTCGAGAGGTTGCTCTAAATCGTGGCTCCAGGAAAGTCACAGGAGTGATGTCGGGTCACTAAACCTTAGGTTGTGTTGAAGCTTCAGGAGGCCTGCATGTGAGGACTCGCACATGACTTTCTTTTGCAAGGTTTCTTCCAAAACAAGTATGCAGCTTTGCATCACCACCTTATTTCTGGGAAGGAAAAAGGTGTGTGTATGTGTGTGTGTGTGTGTGTGTGTTTGTGTGTGTGTGTGTGTGTGTGTGTGTGTTGACATTTTAGACATTTAACCACGTTTTAGGTGCTTTCTATAAAAAAGATTATTAATGATAAAGCATTTAATAAAATCAAATATGTTTTCAGTTTATACTATATCTATGTCTCAGTGTATCTTTGTGTGTTCATAGCTTTTTCTTCTTTCCATATAATTTGTGCACAAGACATATCTTGGCTTATAGGAATTAAAGCCAAAACTCATAGAGTTTTAATAGACAAGCCTCTTTGTTCCCATCAGTTTTATTGTTCTCCTAAATCCTTTCCCTTAAGCCCAGGTGTCCTGTGCCTGTGAGTTCAAGAGCAGTGTGTGTGGCCCCTTTTGCAATTAATGAGGTGCCTTCGGCTTTGCAGGTTGTGGGTGGCCAGGGGAAGAGCGACATCCTTATGCGCTGAAGCAGGGAGCCCCAGAGCCTGCTCTCCCAGCTGAGGTTGAATTTTCTGACTATATGGACTTCAGAATATCTGTTCCTGCTAAGGCAGATGTGGCAGAATGGGAGCATGGTGAAAAGGCGACTTTTTAGTTCACCAGAGAACTGCCCTATAGGGAGCTGAGCATCCATGTGAGCTTGGTGCACAGACGAAATGAGCTTGTTAATGGACATATGCAGCCTGGGACGCATGCTAATGGGATAGCGCTGTATCTGGGAGAATGCTTGGAGTGCACAGAAAAGAAACTCTTAAGTCTCTTCCATGAGGAGCTATTTCTTTTGTACAGTATTAAGCTGGGAGGGAAGGTGGTTTCAGGATTGGTAAATACAGTGATGCAACACTGATGGTGAGGCCTGTGTCTGTTTTAGTATTCTCAGCATGTTGACTTTTGATAGGTTTGTTCCTCCACCATTGCCAAGTGGCTGCTGCTGCTCCCAGCAGCATATTCCCACCTATTGTCTTTGAGACGAAGAAAAGGGTGACTATCCCATTTGTCTGTTTCTTTATCAGGGAAGAAACAAATTCCTGGAAGATTCTCCAGAGACCTCTCCTTAGAAATCATCAGCCAGAGTGGTGTGTACTTCTAAAACAACTGCTAATTTGGGAAATGGAATTATGAAGCTTGGACTAGATAAGGCCTCACCCCTAGAATGGTAAAGGGCTCCTAACCAGACGCATCAGACAGAGGGTGACCAAGATCAGGCTGAGGTAGGTAGCGAGGAACAGGCTGGGTGAGGAGCGGGAAGGAATGTAGCCAGCCCGGCAGTCGTGGTGAGCGGAGCATGTGCACGTGCCGCAGCCGGATCCGTGTTACCACCGAAAGCTCTGAAAGGCCCACCATCACTACAGCGGTGTCTTCTGTTGTGTTTAAATACTATGTCTTCTTTTTCATGTATTAAAATGATTTGGACATTGAAGGAGAAACGATGCTTAGTTGATCTCTACCACCAGTGGAAACGAGAGACGTTCTGATGTTTTTGCATGTTTGTCATGGTGAAAAGCTTAATCTTTTCATCAAAATAGAAACTGAAAGCAGGGGACATGGAAGGCATTAGTATTTGACTGCCCTGCTGCTGTTTACACTGTTTTTATTCTTTTTTCCTTGCTGATGAAACTTGATTTCTTCTGGCGGTGTTACATCCACTGAATTGTGACCATCAAGCTTATCACATCGGTCTTCTTCCCAGATTTGTACATTTTCTGTTTTCCTCAATATATGGTCAACTTCTGACCAATCAATGGCGATCCTGTGGGAGTGGGGCTACTGGGAGAGCATTTGTTTAACTGATAAGCAAGGAGCAAGGTTTAGAAGAGAGACCTTTGGAAGCTCCCCTGGCATCTCCTCCCCATCAGTATAAATGTGGTATCAGGTGCCTGTAGGAGCTTTCTTGACAACATCAGAGAGCACTAGTGGGGGAGAAACTGCATTAGAGAGGGTGGGGTGCAAAACAGAAAGGTCCTGAGTCTTGAGGCCAACACGGGAACTGCTTGCTTTCCAGTTTCTGCTTATGGGAGAGAACCGAACATTTAAATGACCGAAGTTGGGTATCTCATTCCTTCTAGCTTAAAGAATACTAACTGGTACAAACTGTGGCCCATGTTTAAATTTAAAAATTATTACAATAAAAGACATAATCATGAATCCTGCTCACAGTACTCCCCTTTGCTTCCAACGTGTGTACCCCGTTGTTCTTGGCACTTTCTCTCATCAAGTGCCAACCAGGCCTGACCTGCCGGCTCCCGGGATCCACTGACGCTGGGCACGCCCAGCCCGGGACTGTGGCCACTGGCTGGCTCTGGCCGCCTGAGGCAGTGCTGGAATCACACTTTCCTGACTTTAGTTGCACTGTGGTTGCTGCCTCCATTGTCCTGAAATGGTTCAAAACATTTATCCTTTGTGGTGTTTTGATTTTGTGAAAGAGCCAGAAGCTGCATGGTGCTGGACCCGGTGGATAAGGTGGCGGCTGCTGTGCTGTCCTGCCACCTGGCCTTTCTGCTGGAGTCTTGTAACATGCACCATAGTTCTTAATCACACCTTGGCATGTCGTACGCGAGATCTAACAACTGTTTCAGAAAGTGCTAAGAACAAGGGCCACTGTGTGTTGGAACTGAGGGGGACTATCTTTACAGAGTCTCGCTATGCAGCTTGTACTCATAGTGATCCTCTTGTTTTTCAGCCTCCCCAGTACTAGGATTGCAGGTGTTCATGTAATCCTACCATGCCTGGATGCTGTGGCCCTGGGGGCGGGGCTGATGCAGCGAGTGGTACCAGGGATCGAACTGCAGGCCCTGCGCTTGCGTAAGCATTGAGCTATCTTGCCAGCCCCCATGAGGGGGACTGTTTTGAGGGTGATTAATAGCAATGTGTCTTTGACTGAAATGTAATAAAAGTTAAGCATTAACCACATATTTTGATCTATGGTGGTACCTGCAACTATCCTAGCACTTGTCTTCCTCCAGCATTTCAGTCGTACTTTAGTTCTGAGTTTAGAATAACTGACCAGACCCCGGCTGTCCAGCCCTTCTCTTGTCTCACTCAGATTTACTCCTTTCTGATACACTGTCAATGTTTTAACTTCTTGATTTTCTATGTTTTTTCTGAACCTATGCATGTTTTCTTGCCTACCTAGACTTGAAATTCCTTCATGACAGAGGCTGGATATTTTACTTTGCTGGGGCCCATCCCTGAACAGCTTTTGAGAAAACTGTCAATGGCAGAAAAGTGATTGAATACCCAGGCTCCTTCCTTCTCTCCAAGCTGGTAGGGAGGGAAGCGCAAGGCTTATCTTTAGGAGCACATCTGCTACTTTCTTGGTCTTTAACTTGGGAAACAGAAGCCCTGTACTATCCTACAGAGGTCGCTTCAGGTTATATCTCTAATTAGGATTTGAATTTTGGTTTCATATTAAGATTTCTATTTCTTTTAAAAACCTTAGAGGCAGAGCTGGGTGGAAGCCTACGATGGTTGCTTGAAACAAAGCATTTTAGGGAAGCCCTGATGTGCATTTGACTTGTAGCTGGTGCACGTGGAGTAAGGGAACTTTGTAGCTTAAGGGATCTCATGCACATTTTGATTTTGGGGGCGGTTGGATTGCTACAACTAGAAAATTCCCTTGCATGAGTCTGTCAGTTCAGGGGATTTTATCATGATTCAGTGAAGTGGAACTTTCGGTTGAAATGAGAATCTCATGGCTTTTATGTGTCTTCACTTGTGGCCAGGGTGACATCTTGGGTGTGTTCATGTCCACCACAGCGTTGCCCATGCTGCGCCAATGGCACTTGCCTTGCTGGGTCACCTTCCCGTCTAAAGCCTGAGCTGCTGTTTCTTTCTCTCCAAGCACAAGTGCCTTTTGTGACCCGAAGATGTAATTCCAATGCAGTGCTTTGTACCAACAACTGTGGGTTTTCCTTAAGGTAACTGTGGGTGGCCCCTTCATTTATTTTCTTGCTTCCTTTTTGTTTTTGTAAATTCTGCCCTCCACTTTCCCCTGAAGCACATGCTATTCATGTAATCTGAATGGCCATTTAGAGGAAAGATCAGAAGTTTGTTGTTTCATTACCAACATAAATCAAAACTTTGTGTTCGCACTGCAATCCGAGTGAGTCCAGGAATAGCTTTGGGATTGCTAAGTGTCTGGGGATCACTGACTACACAGACATGTTTTGAAGCCCGCTGGAATAGTTTCTACAGCTGTTAACAGTTTGTAGAAGAATGGCCGTATTATACATCAGCATTTAAAATGTGCATGACTCGCATTGCACAGAAGTCAGATTGGGATAGAATCAGATTTTTTTCTGAAACTCGGCCAGGAAAGTCTTCAATAACTAGAGAAATTCTTTTCACTGCTGAAATCAACATGAAGGACATTGTGTTATTATAATTGCTTATAGCTCACCATGAAAGTTGTCATTGTATGAGTGGATGTACGGGCTGTACTGTTTTGTTTTTATTTATTCTGCATTCTTTATTCTAATGTCCTTTCCTTTTCCCTGACCAAAAAGATTGTTATTGAGCCCTTCACAAAGCTGAAATAATGCAGTGTGTTAAAAAATGTTAACAATTCAAAGAAGTTATAAAAATTTATAAGTTGGCTGAATGCTTGGGAAATTTCTGCATATTTTAATATAAATAGGTAATGCAAATATTTGTTCTTTGCATTGAGAGGTGAGTCTCTGTTTCCCAAAGGCCCTACTATTTAAATTAGATTTATTTGATTGCACTGAAATAAAGGCACTTTCTATTTTGAATGATGCCAAAGATTAAATACCACCATTGTTGTTTGATACAAAAAATAAGTTTCAGGGACTTCAACAATTTCCAGAAAACAGTAGGAATCACTTCATGATTAGAATTCTTATGAAGGTAACTTGCTTTTTAGATTTTGTTTCGCTTTTAGCACTGGCTATCGAATCCGAGGCCTTCAGACTGAGCTACATCCACAGCCCTTTTAAATTTTTTCATTTATTTTGAGACAGGGCCTCACTGAATCACTAAATTGCTCAGGTTGGGCTCAATTTTGCATTTTGCCTGCTTCAGCTTTCCAAAGTTCTGGAGTACAGGGTCTTAATGATTTTTTTATTGTTGAGATTTGCAAATCAAGATTGAGATTCTATGTGTAAGAACTCTTTGGTTCATCTTTGTATTCTGCCAGTTTTGTTTTTGTTTGAAAATTAACCGATAGACAATTCAAGGTAGGAATGGGATGTATATCTTGAGGTGGGAGATAAATATGAATAAAAATGAGTATTAATGGAAAGAAAAAGTAGGAGAGGGGCACCTTTGACTGAATATGTAATCAAAATATACATGATTTGTGTGATTCCCAGTCAAAGGTCTTTGCAGTAGGGTTGAAATCCAAGGTTCTAGATCTTTCTGAAGTGCTGAGACTCACTCAGTGGAAGGCCAGGGGTGGGTGAAGTCACACTAGGAAGACTCACCTAGTGGACTGGGCTTCCAGGAGTGGAATTAAAATGCCCCAGGGATCTGACTGCAGGCCTGGGCCATCCCGTGTCCTGGAAAAGTTGGTGGGGCAGCGTCTTGGGCAGCCATGGGGACTATGGGACTCCACTTGGTGATCTGAGAAAACATTTGCCCAGACTTGAGTGGTCTTTGATGTACTGATGAACAGTCACGTTTTACCTTACAAGCCAGTGCTTTAGCTGTTAGTCACCAGCTTGAAAGGGGCAAAAGGAGATGCTAGGAAAGGATGGCAAGGCCCAGGGTTGGGCAAGCACATCCTGTAAACTTCACAAACTGGCATTGTGGGGTTTGGGCAGGCCCTGGCTGCGGCCCTGGCTGTGGCCCTGCCCGCCTTCACGCTCACAGCATGGGACTGCGAGCGTCCCCTATACCTCTCAGGTTGTACACACCTGGAAGCAAGGCCTTCCTTAGAAAAAGTGATTTGAATAAGAATGAAAGTGATAGTGCCTTCCAGGGAGGAGAACCAGGAAAACACAAACTTCTGCTTTCTTAAACTAAGAGGTTCTACTTGATTGAGAAATATCAACAGCTGACATTTGTTGAGTGGTTACAATGTGCCAAACACTATTACCTGTTTACTTAAAGATATGTT